GGACGCGGCGAAGGGCGGCGGCAAAGGCGCCGGTGCTGAGGGAGGGCGGTGGAGACCCCGGTCGAGCTCGGGGCGGGCCTGTGCGCCGTCCCACGCGGCCCCGGCCGGGGCTGTCACCATGTCTCGGCCGGGGACTATCGCGACCTTTGGAGTTGTCTCTTCCCACCCGGCTGACGGGGTTCTGCGCTCCCAGGGAACCATCTCAGAGCCGGAACGTGGAAATTCAGGCCCCGGTTGATTGCCCTGGGGGAAGCGGGTGGGAGAGGCCGGCCGCAAACCGCGGCAGCACTTCCCATCGCCGCTTCACCCTGAGCTGTCACCTGCCCTTCCCCAAAACGCCCCCAGACCCTTTTCCCCCCCTTGACACCTGCGAAGGACCACGAAGCACCATGTAAGCCAGCGTGCCCGTAAACACGAGGTGCCGGTGGGGCTTTGAGCAGCCTGGTCTGGTGGGAGGTGTCCCTGCCCAGGGCCGGGGGCTGGAACTCGGTGACCTTTAAGGTCCCTTCCAGCCCAAACCCTTCTGTGATTCCCTGGTCACGGAGCTGTCTGATCCCGGCTGACTGACGGGAGCGCAGGCCCGGCCATAGTGTTTTAGTGTGAGACCCTGCGGGTAGGGGCTGCAAGGAGCAAAGCAGCCATATCGGGGTGTCACCGCTGTCGCAGTGAGGGCTGATCAAGAAGGTGTGACATTGTCCACACTGACAGAACCTGTTCAGCGCTGTGTCCTGTGGAGCGGCAAAGGCTGTGGCTTGAAAAAGCTTTATTGCTGCTTCTGCGGTGGACTGCTGCCTTCTGTCATATCGAGAAGGTTAAGGGATGTAGTTTCAAGGGCCACTTTCTGGGAAAGTGTCTGTCCTAGATGCAGAATAGACCAACTGCTTAAGTTGATGAGACTCTACTGACTTAATTGAGTTTAGGATTAGATCTTGGGTTCATTTAGAAGCGCACCTTCTGCCTATCCTGCATTTGCTCTCCTTGGGGGCTGTAAAATGATTTGATCTTCCCAGAGACGAAGATCAAAGTGGTGGATCCCTGAGGGAGCCCTGCTGTCCCTGACGTGTGTTATTCCATCGTGTCTGGTGGGGCTGTGCGTTCAGCCCAGGCCTTGAAAAGACTTTAAATGTTTCCCTGATAGAAAATATTACCGTAGCTATTGGGCTGCTGTTTTGGCAGCCGCTGTAAGGTCAGGCCCTGCTAAGTAAGCACTTAATTACACACTTAACTTCATTCATTGATGATAAGTCAGCTATGTGTGTGGGTATAAGTATAGGCAGGTTTCTTATCGTAAGTTTTTTTTAATGTAAGCACTTCTAATTATCACACCCAAGACTGATATGTAATGTTTTGGAACAAATCTGGTGGAAAGCTCAAAGCTGAGCCTGTTTACCTAGCTGGTTTTTATTTTTATTTCTGCCCCCAAGGTGTAGTTCTGAGGCAATCCCAAGAGCCCAAAGAGCTGTGGGGATATGTGCAAGTTCGAAGTAAGGCGCACATGTTCTGGTGGCTCTACTATGCAAATAACCCAACCAAAGACTTCACAGAATTACCTCTCATCTTGTGGCTTCAGGTAAGGTTTGGTGAAAGAGACTTAAATGATAATTTTTTCCATCCATGCCTCTATCGGTCTGATAGGTATTTTACAGCTCTGCAGAAATAGGATTCAAAATTGTCTGATTCTAAATGATTCACCTTGTGAGTCAGGTATTCAGGTTAGGAAGAAATAATGAAAATATCTTTCTGCAGTTGTGGGGTGCCCTCAGTGGCTCACCTTCCGTCAAGTTAAATTGCAGAAACAGAGGTTATTCTTATCTTTTATACAAGAGTAGTGCTTTTTGTGCCAGACGCTACAAGTACATTGTAGCGTCACAGCTCTTTTCCTGAACAGCTTACAGTCTAAACAATGTTCAGAGAGAGAGTAGATAAAATGATCTGAGGTTTAGAAAGACTTCTAAATGGAAACAAGTAGAGAGCTTCTGATTATTTAGAGATTGGTCCCATTCAATCACAGTTTGATAAAAGGCAGTGGTGTGTGCTCCACATTCACCTCCAGCAGTACATTTCCGAAGTTAATGCTGAATATAATCACTTGATGACTTGGTCTTTTTCCTTCTGGGTTATTTCTTCAGCATGAAATGCACACGCTGTATATGCTGATAAAACTAATGGCTTGCAAACCTCTGTAGACAACTAACTTCTGCATTCGCATTAAGGGAATAAAGGGAAGAGTTTTCAGACTGCACTCACATAGCATGCAACTCATTAGATACTTTCACAAGTGGGTAATTGCTTCTCTGTTTAAATTCTTGCTTTCAGAAATGGCATGTGCACACATAATGAAAGACAATGAGGAAGAACGCCTTCTTTGCAAATTAACATGTAGTGCAAAAGCCATTTTTTTGAATTTACAATCTGTCATTCTACATACTGGCTTGCTTTTGTTTTTCTCCTATCTGTCATATCTATACCATGCTGTCTTCTAACCTATTTGTCATTTGGTATTTCCCCACAGGGAGGTCCGGGATCTTCAGGCTGTGGATTTGGGAACTTTGAAGAGATTGGCCCATTAGACAAAGAAATGAAACCAAGAAATACAACCTGGGTATAGTAGAGAGTTCAGCTTCTAATTACTGACCACAAAATGTTTGTTGCTTGTGTAAGCAGATGATTCCTATCATCACAGAACAGTTTTCATTTAATATTCAATAGAATTATGATATTTCATCTTAAAATAGTATGGTTAATGAAATGGCTTATAAGAATACCCTTGTTACGAACTGAAGAATAGACCTATTAATGTGATTTGATGGAATATGTCTGGGCTTCCATGGATTTGTGAATTGCACATGTCTGGGAAACTGAGAGCAGGGAAATTCTAGAAAGATGTTATTTCAGATCATAGCTCCATTGCGTACAGTCATAGAGGTTTTTCTGGATGGCTGGCAACGTATAACCAGTGGCTCGTAATGACAAGTCCAGTATGGCCTTCAAGGGAAAATAAATTACAGCTGCCTATGAAGGTGGAAGTTTATTCAATGAAATGTATTTGTGCTCTGAGCTACCAACAGTCTAACTCCTCTGGAGTTCTCTACATCGTATGGGTGATCTGCCCTTGGATCACTGGGATTTTTTTGGGTGCTGTTCTTGTTGCAGATTGGGCAAATTGAAAGACCTTATGTTGTACCTCTTTATTTGTGAGCCTTACTGCTTTGAGCCATGCCAGCTATCTGTGTGCTGATCTATTGATTTTATTTGTACATTTGTAACTGTACAACTATGGCATTTGTTATAGCAATTTCACAAAAGCCCAGCAACCCAAAAGAAGATCCATCTTATTTTACATACTGACAGACAAGTATCACCTGTATCATTCCCTGTTTTGGACTTGCACCTTATTTTTCTGCAGTCTCTTTTAGGGACAGAGATTCAGTGGCTCAGTTAAACCTCAGGCGCTGGTGCTGAACTGAGGTTTCATACAAATCTTCTTTCTGCTTGTACAGTTGCAGGCAGCCAGTGTCTTGTTTGTGGATAATCCTGTGGGCACTGGATTCAGTTACGTGGATGACTGTAGCTTGTTTGCCAAAAACCTTACCACAGTAGTTTCTGATATGATGGTATTTCTTGGAGAATTCTTCACATGTAGAACAGAATTCCAGGTAAGCAAATTGAATTCTTGGTTAGAACCATGTTTTTCTTGGCTTTAAAACAGATCTCAAAAGGAATTAGTGAACAACCTTCCAGATGGGCAGTGTTTTCTACTAGGTAGCATGCATTTGGTGGGAGTCAGTGCAGGTATAACCAACGCCTCTTATTTCCCACAATTCAGAAGTGGTACCTTGAATTTGGTGTTAGTTAGATAAGCAGCGGGGTGGATTATTGTCTCTCATGCAGTCTGAGAAGCATTTAGGATCACATCCGTTTCTAGTTCCAAAATACTGAAATGCCCGCTTCAAAATTTGCCCGGGTAATTACACCAGGAAGTTATGGAAATCTTATCTGCAGCTTAGAATCAGAAAAAAATCCAGAGTTTGATAGTGAGAGATGAAGAGCCAATGCCTGGGTTCTGTGGGATGTGGGTGGCAGTTGGGGGTATCTTCTGCCCCCTGTCCAACGGGTTCATCATGTGGCTTCTCTCTCTTCAGACCATCCCATTCTACATATTTTCTGAGTCTTATGGAGGTAAAATGGCTGCTGGCATTGCTTTAGAGCTGCATAAGGTAAGTAGTTGGAGGATGTAGTTCACTTACCACTTTAAAATGTGGTGTTCTACAAGTACTTGTATTTCCTGGGATATGCTGTCCCTGTTGCCTAATTCAGACTGCTAATTATGTTTTTTTACTTAAAGAAAACTGGTTGTAGAGTCACGACTGTCTACCTAAAAGTTGATTTTTTTTGTGTGTGTGTTTGTGTGGTTTGATTGTTTTTGGTTTTTTTGTCTTATTCACCAAGGCTGTTCAAGAAGGGACCATAAAGTGCAATTTTATGGGGACTGCTCTTGGAGACTCATGGATTTCTCCTTTGGGTATGTTTAAAATCCTCAAACTGTGGGTGGTTTGTTGTTGTTTTGTTTTGTTGGGTTTTTTTATCATTCCATGGGTACCTAGAGTCAAAAATGTCAGCCCTGCCGTAAGTGAATTAAATCTCTATTGAGTCTGGTAAATCAAAAAGAAATACTTCAACATTGCAAGCTGTGATTGAAGAATCTACCTTTAGAACGTATCTAGATTATGGAAAGTCAGAGAGCAAAGTCAGTGAGGAGCATACTTTCATTTGAAGTGGGGTGGTGGTGAAATGTCCCTACGCACCTCTACAGCCTCTGAGGTGTTTGGTCAGAGTACTGCACTTAAAATGTGGCCACCAAATGATTCACAAGGTTGCAACTGAGGTTTTATCTTTCTTTTCACTAGAAGACCTTGTGCTGAGGAGCTGATGTGCTCTAAGACCTGGAAGAGATAGGGTGTGTGTCTGGTGGAGGACAAAAAACAAATTAAAGGACCCTTGGTCCTTCAATGAGATTTGCAAGGGCAGGCTCCATAGATTCTCTGCAGCATGGGACAGTATCAAGCAAACTCCTGTCTGTCTTAGGATCAGCTGATCCTTGAGACCTTATAAACAAACTTATAAAACAGTTTTGGTTTGTAACTAGATTCTTCCCCCTGTAACTCTTGCAAACAGATCAGTTTAGTCAATGCCAATTCACTCGTGAGATCTCCCCCCATGTTCTAGCAATGTGCTGCAGTGTTGGGGTGAGAACATTTTGCTAAGAACACGTCTGTTTAAATAAATTTCACTGATTAACATTTAGGGGGTTAATGATGTTGCAGTGCTTTTACTGGGTCTCAGAATTTGTAAAGAATCTGCTCTGTGGTACATAACCTTTGGGCTAAATTGAGCTGACAGTACCATTTTACTGATTAATTCATCTCCATATATTTTTTGTCACAATCATTCTTGCTACAATAAAAGAAAAGTAAAGGAAATTGTATGTCAAAAACTTAGATGTTTGAAATTTGTTCTGTTTCTTTAGACTCTGTGCTGTCTTGGGGGCCCTACCTTTACAGCACTGTAAGTACCTTCTTAAATTCTTGGTCCTCACCTGATTACATGTACTACCATACAGTAGAAATAGATGTTGATTTTTAAGGTTAGCTCTTAGCTGGAATAAAATCTCAAATGCATGGAGACTGTTAACAAAAAATGAATGTGAATTTATAATTAAAGTTGTCCTCCTTTGTGTTTGTCTTCCAGTCTCTCCTGGATGATAATGGTCTAGCAGAGGTGACTGCTGTTGCCAAAGAAATAATGGATGCAATAAATAAAAATCAATATGGGCTAGCTACTGAGCTCTGGGACAAGGCTGAAGTTGTCATTGAAGAGGTGAGATCTTCTTTCACCAGCATTAATAACTAACCGGTGCCTGGGGAGGCACACAATTTCAGGTTATTCCTTCTATGAGTACTGGGTTGGCATGAATCTTCCAACCCCCTGCCCAGTCATTTTTGCCAGTATATGTTTTATCCCAGTGCTGGTGTAAAAGAGCTGTTGGTTTGCTGCACACCACTGTGTGATTCTAAGAGGTACTGGGTAGGGCAACCCACATGCGCTTGCAGTATTGCATCAAGGTTTCAACCTGGCACATCACTTAAATAGATGCTTAATTTTTAGCATGCAACTAATCCCACCGATTTCTATAGAACCCAGTTTCAACTTAAATGAGCCACGTCTCCTTGAAAGCTTTGTTTTGAATATTGAAAACCATATCCAGCAAGACACAAATTTCAAGTTAAGCATAGATCTCTATTTAAAGAACTGCAACAAGTGCACAGGATGGAAAGGAACCTCAAGTTATGTCCTGTTACTGTGGGTTACTGCATCACGTTATTTAGGAAGTTCCAGATAGGTAAAGTTTTACTCTTGTTTTTCCTGTTGAAGGGTTACTCCAAAATCTCACTCTTCCTTGCGTTTTGTTTTAGTACAAGTAAGGCTCTGGCTTTCTCAAACTGAAAAACTAATCTTGAGCTGCTTCCTTTTCTTGCTTTGTTTTGTTTTGTTTCATAACTGACAGTGCCGTGCACATAGTTGGTTTCACTTCTTAGTGTTTGGAAGGAACTTGTGGTTCCCATTTTGACTTTCTCTTGAAGTCTCCTTGTGTTCTCCTCCTAGTTGCAATATTGCTGTCAGGGTGCAGGCACTTCAGTTCTTCTAGGGTTGCTGTTGCGAGCTGATTTCTGACCTATGCATCAGAACTTTAAAGATGCAAAAATTGAATAAAGCAGGTCTTCAGGAATCTCGAGTAACTTCTCTAATGGCACCACTGATTACACATCCTTTGGATGCAGGCAGTCCGCTGTCTGCGTCACAGCTGCCATTCCACAATTCTTGGACTTGTCCAGATGTCAGCAATTCCAAAAAAGGGGTGGCTGATACCTATTGCCACATTCTTGAGGAAGCATTTGAGATTTTGAAGGCTTGTGGGTTGGGAGGTTGTTGAGCAAGAGGCAGCGTCAGGCTAGACTAGATCTAGCAGAAGAGACCATCTGAAAGCATCATCTGGCGTTGCAACTCTCTACAATGAGTAATGAGAATCTGCAGTCATTTGCAGGGTGTCAGGCTTCCTGTAGCTTCACATCCGTTTCAGAGAAGTAAATAATATCTCTGGCACAACCCATGTGTGAACAATACAGACTTGAGAAAACTCTTCCCCACTTCTCAAAGCAAATGCAGAACAAAAGTTTTTCCATAAGTATCTTCCTGACATGTAGGTAAAGTGGCAGGTCACAAGGTCCTTTATTTAATACTTACTTATCTCTTTTTTCAGAAGAGAGTCTGTTCCTCATACCTGAGAAACGTTTTTGTTGCAGTGTTACTGAAATGATCTTGTGTTTTCAGAACACAGACAACGTGAACTTTTATAACATCATGACTAAGGATGTTCCAGAGATGAAATCAAATGAACAAGAAAATGTCCGTCTCAGTAAGTTGTATTGAATTACTTGAGCTTCCAAGGCTCTGTGTCTGCATTCACGTACCTTCAACTCTGATAGTGGGAACAGCCTCAATTTAGCACATCCTTAAAATGGGGCCTTCAAATCCAAAGGATATTGGTATTCTCCAGAGTGGAACTTGTTTGCTCTTGCATAAATAGGGATAAATAGGAATGTGGAACAACCCTTCTATAGATTACACCTCCACCTATACATCCTGCACAAATTATTCCAAGGAAGTAGTCGGTATAATTATGACACAGTTTTATGGCCTTTAAGTTACTTCCTCTTAATGTCTTTCATTTCTGTCTTCAAGCTGGGACACAAAAATGTCTCATCAATATAAATAGTCTCTTTTGCTCTATGATGTTTATGCATCAGTGTGAAAAACACATATATAGAGTTTCTGTCAAGCTCTTTATCTCCTTCTATTGGCTTCTTTCTATTCTCTTTCTATTGGAAGGTGAGTGGCACAGTTAACTCCCAAAAGTAGTGTTGCAGCTCAAAAATAACTGGTCTGTTGAGGAGAGAAAATCATGTCTGTACCAAGTGGCTAAAGCAGAACCTGGTCCCCTGAAAAAGGGCTGTGTTAAACAAAAGTAGAAATGGATAGTTTAAATTTAAATAAGGGTTTACCTCACTGGTTTCTAGTAAAAGTGAGCAAATCTCTCTCTGTGGTGTTGCATTTTCATTAGAAAAGAGTTTGTTGGCCACAATGGTAGTGCTGAAAATTGTTATCTATGCAGGATGACTGCCTTAAATGTGCCACTAATCAAAGTGTGTTCTCTCTTTTTCAGTAGGACTTTACCAGCGCCATGTCAAAAATATGCATAAGGAGAGCTTAAATGAATTGATGAATGGACCCATCAGAAAGAAGCTAAAAATTATTCCTGACTGTGTGAAGTGGGGAGGTACTTTACTGTCTGCTAGTGTGGATCTAATAAGTACATTATTGCCTTTTACAGTATTTCAGTCTGTGGGAAGATACTTTACTGTAGTAAGCAGTCACATTAAACTGTCCTTATCCTTGGGCCTAAGAAGAGGACTTATTCTCAGAAATGAACACGTAATGGGGTAGGCCTGTGGGAGCAGATGTGGTTCTGGTTCTGATTCTGCTGCTTGTATCGGTCCTTAGTCAAGCAGCTAAAAATACAGGGGGAGGAAGAACACCCTCCATGTCTCAGCAGCTGGTTTCTATCTTTTGTGCAATTTCGCTGAAATTCCCATCAGTTTTTCTTTGCCAGAAATCTGGTATCATGTCATACTGTATGGTGTGGAGGGGAGGGTGTAAAACAGAAAGGAAGCCTTAAAGGACTGATGCCAGCAACCTGTATGTGTGTAATAGGAGCCAGAAGCTACAATACTGCGTGTGAGCTCCAGTGGAGGCATGGTTGCCTTCTGGTTCTCTTTCATTCCTCAGACTGATAAATCATGGGCTGCTGCTTAGGGCTAGAACTGGTTTTTATGTAGCCATGTAATGCATTTACAGACCCTTAGCCAGTTGCTTCAGTCTCAGCTTGGGGATGACATTCTTCATCAGTTAAAATTTGTCTTCTTTCTGGTTCCAACCAGGTCAGTCCAGAGATGTCTTTGAGAACATGGCTGAGGACTTCATGAAGCCTGTCATTGATATTGTTGATCAGCTGTTGGCAGCCAATGTCAATGTTACAGTCTATAATGGGCAGCTGGATCTCATTGTTGACACCATGGGTAAGGGACTTCTTGACTGGAGTTGGGAACAGAACACGTGACAAGTAGAATGTGAAGTTGCCCGTAATAACCTGGATCTCTTCAGTCTTCTGTGCAAATCTCCTATCTAACTGGCAACGATTAAATATTACAGTCATAAATGAGCAGCTCTTAGTATGCTTTGTTTACATCCCTCTGAGAGAGGCAATTATTTTACCTCCATTAAATTGTTGGGAAATAGATCTGCAACATCAATAATTGCTTGTTTCAGTGAAGCCCGTAAGTAAGTAGGTAGATAATAATTCACTTAATTCTTCTGTATAGACACATATGTATGTATGTATGGTCATTCATAAATGAAGAATGAGGACAGATGAATAAATATATGGAGATTATCCTCTCTTCTCCTGCTGTGTCTTGAAGATCCTGTTCTTTGGGGCAAAGGTCATATCTTGCTACAGATTTGTGCACAATACAGGGCAGCCTTCACTGAGTGCTCTGCAGCCCAGAGCATGGTGCCAGGTGAGATGGAACGAGGGTAATTAATCAGGGAGGGTGCAGTTGAAGAGTGATCACACCTGCTGCTCAGTAACATGTGTATGCACCTGCATGTCTTGGCCACTCAAGGGCTTTGTTTGTCCCTTGCTGCTTGCAAGATGCAGGCTTGATCAAGTGGCAGTTTGGGAGCCAGGCCAAGTGTTGCTGAGAGACTTTCCTGCTTTCTTCCATTCACCTTTTCTTATTGATTTAAATAATCTGTGGTCACAGACTGCATAAATGTCTTCCTATGTTATGAAAAGTTTTATCCTTTGTCTGTCTCTGCCCACTTAGATATTCAGATGCCCTTCAATGAACAACATAGCAATCAATAAATCAGGAAACAGTATTTCGGTTGTCAAAACACATTAGCAGTTAGCGGTGCTCCAGTTATCACATTTTGAGCTAAAATTGAGCTGCAGTTAATGTAAATTCTTCTAGTAGTTCAGAAGTAGGCTAAAGCTTTGTCTCCGTTGGTGTCCTGGAATTTGTCCTTTTGCTGTCTTAACTTCCACCTTCTCTAGCAGGCATGTGAAAACAGAAAATCTTTCCAGGTTTTTCTTGATGAGTGACTGCAACAAACACTGAAGCAGTGTCTCTTCTGATTTCCAAGAGGGGGACTTGGTGTGGCTGATCCATCTCCATGGCAGAACATTCATGGTGTTTGAGGAGTAAAGCAAAATATGTCAGAATTTCTAGGCCTGCAGAGCCTCTAGAGGCACATGTTCAACTTGTGCAATCATAAGTCCATTTCATGTACCTCTGCACTGTTTGCTTTTTCCCTTCTCCCTCCATATTTTTTTTTTTCCAGCTTATCCTCAATGCAGCCTTGGTCATTCTCCTAGGCATAGCAAAATTGGTTTTAGAATCTGAGCATACAGAGACTTTCCGTTAACTCTGCTCTATTGGTGTCTAGTACAGTGGGCATGCAGCTGAACTGGGACTTCCAAGTTGCTATGTCAGTATTATTAATCAAGCATATCTCTTTGTCTTTAACAGGCCAGGAGGCATGGATCCGGAAACTGAAATGGCCTAATTTGAACCAGTTCAACCAGCAAAGGTGGAAGGCACTCTATGTGTCTCCAGAATCCACTGAGACAGCTGCTTTCCACAAGGCCTATGAGAACTTTGCTTTCTTCTGGATTCTTAAGGCTGGGCACATGGTAAATAACATACATCTTGGGGTGGGATGCACCATTGTCAGCGAGAAAGCTGAAGATTCATATATGCTTGCTGCCAGCTTCCTTATAGCAGCTGCTTACCATGTGCTCTCATCTCTGTGCTAGGTACCGTCTGATCAAGGAGAGATGGCACTGAAAATGGTCAGGATGGTGACCCAACAGCAGCACTAGGGAAGGGGAGGCCAGCTAGTACGGCTTCCTGTCGAATGTCAGTGCTCTTGCAGAATGTGAGTCCAGAATAATAAGCTGCAGGAAGAACAATGGCCATTTGGACACATAGCCTCTCTAACCTTGCTGATAATGTGCGCAAGCACTTATGGAAAGGCTTTTTTTTCCTTTAATGAGTTGTTGCTTTTGAATTTGTAAGCTGTGATTTGCTGCCTTGACAGTGTTTATAATGACTCTTCCAGAGGGAGGTCCATTGTCATAAACCACTAGCTCTAAGCCTTTACCTTTGACTTGGATTTTGTGCTCTTGTAAAAAGCTGCCCTTCCCTGAATGCTCTCTTTTCTGTTCACACATCAAGACTAAAACTGATTTGAGTCCTGATAGATTTGCTGTTTGTTCCTCTCAGAGAGCTAACCTGTTTCATGAGGCCATGGAATGTTCCTTCCTTTGTTCTCAGGCTTCTGCTTGAGTCACTTGGCTGGATTACAAGCTGAAGACATGGAGATGCCAGGATAGAAGACCTGCCCTAGAGGAGTTACAGTCCACCTCATCTTGCTCAGGTGTCTGAGTTAGGCTCCAAGATTCTTCAGGCTTCCTGTGCTATGGAGAGAGAAAAACGCCCCCCAGAGGATGATTTCACCTTTTTCATCTGACCATTTGTTTCTTGTTTTCATTCTCTTTAATGACCGTTACTCAAACTTTGCCTTTAGCCGTAACACCTAAAGCACATCGAGCAGGAATTCCTGCTTTCTTGTATGCTGAAGCAGGAGCTCTGTTAATACCCTCTTCTTGTACAGAAGAGTCCTAATGGACAGAAGCCTCTTACAACCTTCTGAGCTTAGCCTGGAGAGTGGAGAGTATTATTTGAGCAATAATAGCATAATTATGAAAGATAACAGCAGTGTTTAAGAGAAGGATATACAAGCTAAACCCAATATCTTGATCTATATTTTTCTAGAGCTTTTTTTAAGTCTTTCAGAGACCTATTATTTTGAAACAACTTTTTTTTATATAGCACACACTCAAGAGATTTGGTCAGACATCATTTGACTTCTGCTTTGGAGCACAAAGTGACTGTTGTTTATTGGTGTCTGAGAGGAGGCACAACAGCTTGTTCCAGCTGCCAGAACCCTAAATAAATAGCAGCCCCTCAATTACTCCCGCAACAGAAACTGTCATGAAATATCTGATCCTGTTGGTTTAGCAAGGACTGAGGCATAATGCTGTGTAAACACATATGCAATCACCCAGCAGCTGGACTATTGGCACCTAATAATTGCTTTCCTTCTTCATATTCTCTGCTTGAACTGTGTTTTTGAGAACTTTAGCAATGCAAATCCAGATTTTTTTAAACACATTTTTCAATAAATGCAATATGTCTAATCTATTCCTCTCTCTTGGGCACCACATTGATTTTGCTGCTTGAAAATCACATCTTTTCTGGTTTGACTTTTTGGTGTAAAGCCCCTGCCAATGGCAGCAGATGCAGTCACACTTGAGAGGGAAGGGTGCAGGACTGTGCTGTCCCCCATGACTGCATCGCATGATGAGGAGCACATGCACTGGGGACTGCATCCCCTCCCATCCTTTGCGCAAAATGTACTTCTTCAGAGCATGATGGGCAACCCAGAATGGCTAGGCAGGAGGAAACCAGCAATTGTTTCCGTTCTCTTTCTGGTTGAACACTAGACAAAGAAGAATAAGAGGAGGGTCCTAGAGGTGTGTAAATCTGCATTCTTGGAATATTTTAATATAACTTGCCAAACAAGTATGTCTGAGCTTGGGCAGTTTGCGTTGGCTTGTAGTCCTGCATCTTGTTATATACAATGCTTTGCATTGTGCATAAACAACTCGTACTGTAGGGCTCGATAGAGGGAAAGAACTGATAAGATGGTATTTCCAGAAAGCAGCATTTACTGCTGTTCTTACGCTTCCTTATCAAATGGGCCATTCATTCAAATTGCCTAGAGCGTGTGCTCAGTGATAGGCCCAAGACATCTGTTTCTTGTCCTGCTTTGTTTTAGCTTCTGCAGGTTTTTTTGTTGGCAAAGAGATGGCTTACAAGGAAAAAGATGGTTTCAAGACAGTTGGTGGTAATCATTTGTTGGTTTTAGTGGCTATGCCAAATCTAAGCATGTTAAAATAAAACACCCTTGCCTATGGAGATAGGCTCTTAAACAGTGTCCATTGAAATGCAAACAAAAAAAAAGCAGCAATTCTTTAATATCAGAGAAGATTCCTTTTATTTCACCAAAAACTTTGTAACTGGTGTGTCACAGATTTATATCATCACAAAGGTAGGTCACCTGTCCAGCAGATGCTGTAAGAAATTGGTTGCTTTGAAAGGAGTTCAAGTCCTGCTGTGTATCTGATTAGCAATGACATACTTTGTCCTTTTTGATTTCATGCAGTATGCTATTTCCAGATAAGGGTTGTCGCTTGCCAAATCCATTAGGATGAATCATTCTAAATATTAATGGGATTTTTTTACAGATGCTGGACCAGTCAAAAGAAAACAGCGCAACATTTCATCTTCTGCAGCTGCAGGCTTTGATCGCGTAGGTAGCCTGAGAGCCACAGACTTATTTTGCTCACCATCAGTTCAGAATAATTTTCACAGAAACAAATCCAACTGTTAAAAAATCAGTAATTCGGCACTGCCTTTTCAGTATGAACCATTTTGGCTTTCTATAACTCTCTACCATTTCTATGCCAGAGAAAGAAGTCTAAAAGTTATCCACTATGTAATAAACAGGTGTCTTTGTCTTTTTCCTTTCTATTTTGCTGGATCTGGTAGGATATAATGGGGAAAGGTCACTGGATGCATCCACTGTGCCTTGAACTAGTGTGTACAAGCACTTCATGGTCACTGGTACGCAGTGGATATGGAATAGATAGACCTTTGGTCCATTACTTAGAGCTGTTCCTATGCTGGACACGTTGAGATTGTTGTGGACAGATGAACACAGGAGGCAAGAGATCTGCCCCATTTGCCACCATAGGGGTATCTGTGCAGGCACAACACTTGCAACTAATCTGGTGTGGAATATTTTGGCTGTAGGAAAAGTGAATCACATAAGCTATTTCTAAAGGGAATTTAGCACATAAAGCTCATCAATTTTATGTCTTTAAAATTTGAGGCTTAATGGTGGGCACGTAGCTATTTGTTGAGTTACCTTTTTTCAGAAGATGAACAATTTGAAATGTTGCAACATCTGCTTATCTCTGGATTCAAAGCTGCAACAAAAGAAAAACATCTGTGTGCTGAGGCGAGATGGAAATCTCAGAGCACTTCTTCATTGTCATGTTATGTCTATTATCCTGTAAGCATTCTGCTGTATGGCAGCACAATTTGTGTGTGTCACTTGTGAACTCCAGGGTACGTTCATATTTTTCCAGAAGGGATTCAGGAAGGGAGTAGTAATTTATCTGACCCGCAGACAGTGATGAAGGAATAGTAAGAATTTGAGTAGAGCACATTTCACCCTTGCAGCGTTTCTCTGAAAACTGGTTTTGGTATTTGCTATATAATAGATATGGTAGTTAAGGAGTAGCTTTAGCTTTTGTGGAGAAGCAAATATACCATTCTAGTCACTGTCTGGGGGGGATGTTTTCTTCTAACTGTGACTGGTGATTGAAATAGTAGGGAGCTATTCATATGGGACTTGAACAAAGGTGGCCAGAGTGACTGTATGGCAGGGAGGCAAAAATCATACTTTTGCTGAAGCTGATTCAAATCCAGGAGCTCATTTCTGTTTTCCCCTAATTTTTATCCTCAGTCTCAGTATGAAAACTTATAGGTGAATACTGTGATGAATACTGTATCAGTTTTAAAATGCTGTGAATCATCTAAGCATAGGAGACAGCTGGAATAGTTCCATCTGCAAGCTGTAGTTAGTAGATTTGATCATGCCTACCACAATAATTTTTGAAGGCAATTATAAAGGCTGCTAGAACCAGCCTGGTTAAGCTGCTTTTCTAATTGCTTCTCTGTTCCTAAAATGTCCTTTTTTTTCAGGACTGTCTCTACAAGCAAGTTGGTTGTGGTCTGTCTTTGAGACAGTCAGACTGTGCTCATCACCATTAGCCCCACAGCCAATTTGGTCCATTGATGGTCACAGCAGTAATGATGCCACACCTACATTCTCTTGCATAAATAATTTTGTTCTGTCCTTTATCTCCCATTAGTCAGCCGACTTGGACTCAGCTCACACAATCTGTTTGGAGACACAAGTAATCATTGTTTGGCTTTAGCATCAGTATGGTATATCATGTTCTAATTTTATTATTCTGTCCCAGATCTCGTTGAAAATATAAGAATATCTGGGAATTACATTCTTGTAGTCAGCTGTAATAAAACTGCAGATGGAACGCGCGTATTCAGATGTCGTGTAGTCCATCTTGCATAGGACAAAATAAGCAAAATTTTAGAAACTTTATTTCAAGCAGTAAGGGGTAACTTACTGAACAGTTCATATACTGTGTTATGGGTGAGTTAGCTTAAAAAAAATACACTGGCTGATGAATCCTCAATCTTACACAGCTGCTAGATGATTTGCTAGAATTATTTATTATTTTTTAATGAATTGTGGGAGGGAAAGGGGAAAAAAAAAAAAGGTTTTCCCTTCAAGAATGTGGGGCTTGGGTCTGCTAATATTCGCTTGTTAGAGCCAGAGAGGAATGTTTGTCTGTCTCTTGACAGATCTTTTGGGGGTAAAGTTGAAAATAACTTGACTAGGTCTCCTTTTTACACGGTTGTCTCGGAGTCTTAAACATTTCATTGTACCCAGAATCTCCTGTGAAGGAGTGAAGATCTCTTCCTAAAGCGCTAAGGGAGAGAAGTGAGCTAGGGGCCTGGCAGCTGTCTAGCTGCAGCTTTCTAGTACCATTGATGCTTTCAGGAGGTTGCCAGATGCCATTGCACGTTATAATCTGAGGCAAGTGTAAGTCTACCCAACTGCTTAGAGCTCATCAGAAAAAAGCTGACGGGTACTGTCCTTTCC